AAAGCACATACATTAATTCTTAGTTTTAATTCCCCAAACTGTGTCAAGTTATTATATTCCTCTCTACTCTCTATTTCCTTTGTCATCACTCTGGTTGAAGTCATTATCATCTCTCTCCTAGATTAATGCAATAACTCCTTAATAAATCTCTCCTATTAGCGCCATCCTGATCCATTCTTCACCTAAAGGTTAAGTATCTTTATGTGCGTCAGGTTGTCTTCATCCTCATTAACAACCCTGTGAGGTAGATTCTCCTGGTCTCACATTATTACCTGAAACTTGAAGCACAGAAAGATGTGTCCACCCTACTAAGTGGCAGAGCTAGGATATGGTCTCGGGAACTAGAGCCTGCACTCATAATCACCATGCTATTTGCCTCCATGATATACTGCTGTTTTTATTTAGGCTATTTTAAAGACATTTTGCCAGAGGTAGTATATGTGTGGGGGGGTGAGTGGGTAAAGATTTGTATAAAAAGCAGCTGCATGGATTTGGCACAACAGCTGTAAAATTAGAAACAATAGTAGCACTTGAGCTGAGATTTCAAAGTTGAAGCTTATGAAGTTTATGAACCTTAATTAAAATGTCACTGATGCAGACGCCAAAAAACATGAAAAGAATAATGCATGTTAGTTAATTGTCTTCTAACTAGGAGAAGAAAATCAGGAAGATAATCAAATGAGCAATAGGCATTTTACATTTTGATTAATAACTTTCTCCATCATCAAAAGACACTCATGAAAATATCTGGGAACAAAGACAAGTGACTAACTAGCTTCAATCCTCTGTGGATGAAAGGACAGTTTGTATTTTGTACGTGGTCAAATGTACTTGAGAGAGATATGATGTACAAATATTAATTTGTTAGAAGCCTAGAAAATAACAATCAGATATGCTTGATGATGCAAAATAATTTGGACATCATTTGTTCATGTGCTAATTTGGACATCGTGTGTTCATGTGGATGAGACATCGTGTTTTATTCAGTGTATACTCTTTGTTCAGACACTAAAATAATTTTAGAGAACAAAATGTAGTATTCTACTTGGAGACTAATTGGCTATTTTTTAAAACTCCTTACTTTACCTAACCTCCTGGACATTGTTATTGTAATTACAAAAAGTCTTAAATAAAATATTTCTAAGAAGCAAGATTAAGCTGATAATCTATAGATGTTTGTTTCCCTGAACAACAATGATAAGTTAATATACAGATAACAATTTACTTCTTCCTATATGAAGTGTCAGTGCTTGATACACAAAATCTCATTGGGATCTTAGGAAGTGGTTATTATTATCCCTATTTTCCAAAGGGAAAATTAAGACAAATAATTTTCACAAGTATACATAGATACTAAGTGACTAGAAAATTTCTATTTGTTTATTTCCAAATCCAAATTCTTAATGATTGTGTCATACCCTTTCTTCCTCCTTTTCTCCTTTCCTTCCTTCTTCCATGCTTCCAAAATATTTATTGAAGATACACTGAGGAACATTATCATGATAGGCACAGGGGACTCCACTCATTTTGAATTCTTTAATATTGAACTATATTGTTCTATATTGTTTTCTGGGAACTGTATCTACTAAGTACATGGTAACTACCGGGTCAATATTTGATCAAATAAATGTTTTGTTTTTATATTAATTGGGTATTATCATGACCATATCACTCTAATTAATGCATAATGTTATGTATTCCTACCTTGATCTTTTCATTTTCATGTAAATTTGGGGGAGAGACTCTACCTAGGAAATGCCATATGAATGTTTATCCCCACATTCTGTGCGCACAGATGGCAAAGGGAAAAGTGCTCACTTTGTTCCAGGAGTCAGTCGACTATGGCTCACAAGCAAAACACAGGCCAATATTCACCGAGTTATGGGACGGTTACCTCTACCTCTATTATCTCTCCTAAATGTGTTTAAGAACTGGCTCCATCTGTGAGACTCAAAATCAGTGACAGGTTTTTCCTCTGCCTTGTAAATCAACAACCATTTTGCATTATGCCAATACTTGCGCACACAAATCTCATTGCAGGTTAGGAGGAATACCCAAAATCAGCACTTTCATATTGCCTTACCATTGCCTTTTAGGAAGGAAAAAAGTGAAACCATTGGAACCTACTTTTAAAAGATTTTAAACTAGATATCGTTCTCTTTTTGTGTGTGCATGTTTAGCAATAGAATCTATAAAACTACAAACAAAGGTAGGGCCAAGAAATGGCACAATGCAAATAAAGTGCCCTCACTTACACAACCACAGTGACAATCTATATTTGCAAAAAGGTAAATTGGGAACCCTAAGGACAGTTGCCAATCACTAATTTATATACAGTAGGGCTTACTGTATAGTCTGAATTTAATGGGATACAAACTTAAAATGGTTTTACTTTTTTCTCCAATCATTGTTTCATGCTCTGAAGAACATTTCTTTCTAATCCCAATGTCATTTGGAACAGATTCTGTAGCTTTCTGGTCAGTTTAAGTTATTAAAAATACTAGTAATTTAAAGCTTTGGTTTCAAAAGCAATACATATCTCACATTCTCTTCTCTCATGGGGACGATGCTGATAGAAGTGCTTGGAAGGGTTTTCTGGGATGCCAGTCCCCCAGGGTATAGGATCAAATAGGAGGGCTAGAGAATGACAGGTCCTAACTGATATCATGCTTTATGACAGCTGCCTATTACTGTTTCAGTGTGGTTCCACTTGCTATTTGTGGCCACCATCCATATGCTAGTAGGACCAAAAGTCAGATAATCTAAGAAGGAGTCCACTATGTGTTCATCAAGGGGAAAAATTGTGATTTTCACCATGATACTTTTGAGGTAGCTACAGAAATATGAAGCATTTCACAGTGAATAAAAGAATGGATAAAAATGGAGGAAGGGATGCCCTGGCCTGTGTTCTCAGTGGTTAGAGCATTGACCCGGGCATTGAAGGGTCTCAGGTCCAATTCCAAGTCAAGGGCATGTACCTGGGTTGCAGTTAGATCCCCAGGCCGGTTGGGACGTATGTAGGAGGCAACCAATCAATGTCTCTCACATCAATGTTTCTCTCTGTCTCTCCTTTGTTTCTCCCCTCCTCCTTCCCTTCTTTCCACTCTCTCTGAAAACAATGGAAAAAAATATCCTCAGGTGAAGATTAACAAAAAACAAGAAAAATGGAGGATGGGAAACAGCCTATATCAATACAAATCTTATGTTAATTTACAGTGAGAGGAAACAGAAAAATGTTGAGTGGAAATTTGAACAGAGGAATGGAGTTTTTGTTGTATTTAGTGATTTTTTAAATTTGTTTCTATATTTTTTAACCTGTTTAGAGAGAGGACATTTTAGATGATACTAAGTGAAGATAGATATAATGTAGTAACGAGGGGAATGATTCGTGTTTCAGGAGAAGATTAAGGGGAGGACCGAACCAGTGAGGTCTTTAGGACACATTTAAGGGATGTGATCTAGACTGACGAGTATGAATTTGTCTCTGATGGGAGAAGGGTCAACTTCCTCTATTTCAATACTAGGGGAGAATGTACAGGTGTATGTAATTACAAGAAGGTTTATAGCTTCCATGCTAGAAAGATGAGAAAGTTACCAATTAGTTAAACACTTTGATTAATTAAGAATGAGCTATCCTGTCTTTTGAGAGGAATGGTAAATTCCATTCTTCTTTTATATTGCTTCATCATTTCACTGTTGGATTGTAACATCTTTTCTGTTAGCATTATACTCTTTAGACAGTTAGAAAATGAGAAAAGATAGCTTGTATATGTAACACAAAACATAGTTGATGAATACCATGTATTCTTGTATCCTAGTACATCTTGTCATTTAGCATCTTTCATTTTCTGGTAAAAATGAATATCTCATACCACTACCTAAGCCCAATAGCAGCCCTCTTCTAAGATGAATATTACTTGTGGGACCAATTGGAGAAAATGTTTTCTTTAAAGATAAGCAAATCTTCTTGAAATAAGAACATTTGTTACAGTATAAAACCAGGTCCTTTCAATTACATATAGCAATCACTATGACTTTATTTATTGGGTAAAAACTATATTACATATGTAATATATCATATGTATGAAATAAATATCTGAGTGTGTGTAGTATATGTATATATAAATCATATCTATATATCTATATAACATATACATATAATATCTGTCTATATTAAACACACACTATTAAGTATAACTTACCATTATACAATGTAATTGTATAGAAATAAATATTTATGGGTACTTTACTTAATATATAGCCTCAATTTCATAGTAAATCTAGGATAACAAGAAATACATTCCATATGTCTTCCAAGTGTTCATAAATTGAAAGGAGTGATAGTGGAGTAAACCACTGCTTACACTACAGTGCAATTAGTTCTTCATAAAAGCATTTTAAAATATAAAACACACATATTAAATACTAAACAGAAATTATCTTGGAGATGGGCTTTGAAGGATGCACAAATGTTGATATATAAAGGAATCCTAGCACATTTTAATAACACTAATAACATATCCAAAGGCCTACCATGCAGGAGATATGGACAACTGGGAATTAATGGTCATTTAAAATTCCAGATGGATGCAGAATAATACTAGTAGACTGATTTTCCTTCAAATCAAATTTAGTTATTGAACATGCATCTAACATGTACAAATTTATTCATTCATTGCAAATATTGGATACCAAATGCTATCTATTAAACAGCAATTAGATTAACTACTAGAAACTAAAAATTAGGTAGTCTAATAAAGGCACATAAAAATAATTGTCTTATTTCTATGATTCTAATGCTACAGTATTTAAACATATTAAGTAATTTCAAACTAAAATCCTTTGCCAAACTTTAGTATATTAGTTCTAAATTGTGTTCATCCAATGTTTGCTTGAACCATATAAGATCTGATGATTTTGCCTTAGCCTAAGCTTTTTCTCAGACAATATTACTGCATTATCTGCAATGACTATTCTACAACAATTGCTATTTCCCCCAGATTTGGCAATGTGGAGGCTCATTGGAGATTGTGACTTGCTCTCATGTGGGTCATGTTTTTCGGAAGGCAACTCCATACACCTTTCCTGGTGGCACCGGTCATGTCATCAACAAGAACAACAGGAGACTGGCAGAAGTGTGGATGGATGAATTTAAAGATTTCTTCTATATCATATCCCCAGGTAAACAATTCTGACAGTTTTCATTCTCTGCAGGAGAAAATATAATTTTAAGGATGTTGAATATGTGTTTCATTATTTTTGCTAGTTTAAATAAAATGTCATCACCATAATGTTGCAGAAAGTTGTGTTTGAGAAAGTTGTACTATGAAGTTAATTTTCACCTAAAATGAGAAACACTATACTGATCTCAGATGCCTAAGTATCCTTTTTTCTTTGTTTCTTTCTTGGCATAAGCATTATATTAGAAAAATGGAGCAAACAGTACACAGAGAACTCCAAATTTAATTAACATGTATCAGGTCAATATAAGAAATAATTTATTCTCAAGAAAAGGAAGCCTTTATTTTCTTGTTTCACATATAAAACTGACTGAGTTGGTAAGAAATTTTGATAATGTTTAAGTGGAGATGTTTTCTACTGCCTTATTTTCTTAAATAGCTGACTTGCAAAAGGTTAAATGACCTACAGAAACAAGATAGAAAATTATACAGATATTATTTTTTATTCTAAATACTTTTTAATAACAGTAAATTACTCATCAATAGGTATGTGAGAAAGCTTAATAGGGGCAATAAAATGTTATTCTACTTTATTACAGAGAAAAATAGATACAGAAATGGAAGTAAATTTGGGCTATCACTGGGTGGTGACATGAGTAACTTTATCCTTTTCCTTTTATTTCTCTGTATCTTCTAAATTTTTCTTATAAAACATTATTAATTTTCCATATAAAACATAAATTAATTTTAGTAAAGTATTAACAATTTTTAAAAAATTGAAAGTCATTACAAAAGGAAAGAAAGCCTTGTGAGAAAATCCCATTACAGGGTTTTGTGATTGTAATCAATTTTATTCTTTATAATTTTCTAGAATTTCTCCAACCATTATGTTACTTAAATTTTAAAAAAAATTACTCTGAGATATTACTTATTTTTTAAGGAAAAAATGAAGCATGAGAAGATACAAATAAGAAGATGACACAGGGTTGCCTTCCAGATCTCTGAGACACCAAAGCATAAATTAATATAACAATAAAATAAACTTTAATGTTCCGTTTTGATAGTTCCTATGGTCATCAATGTCATTGTTAGGAAACCCATAAAAATAACAAAAATCCATGCCCACATCCTCTTTTCTATATTTTAATCAACTAGAGGCCTGATGCACGAAATTCGTGTAAGGGGCTCAGCCCTCGCAGCCCCGGCTTCATCCGGAAGGTTGTTGGCTATCCAGTCTAATTAGCATATTATGCTTTTATTATTATAGATATTATAGATTACATGGCTTAGACAAGCCTGTTTTGTTTCTAGTTGACAGACTCTGATTTCTGAAAGTTTATATGAGGCTGTGAAACTCTTATAGATGTGAAGGGAGTGAGCAGGGTGAACTTCCTATGAAGATCGAGCATTACTCTGTAGAAAAGAAAAATGAGGAATGCATGTGTAAATGTGTGATTAGGAGAAGGACTTTTCACACATTTTCAAGGCTTCTTCTGTGTCAAGCAGCTATTGCCAGATACACTATTTCATGCTTAAATGTATTTCCCTTTACAGTGGGAAGCCATTCCAGATGTTCACAAACTTGAGTTCAGCAAGAGCATGTAAAATTCACAGCTAGGCAGTGGAATTTATACAACCTTTTCATTTTCTTTCGATGATCCTTTTTGAATATAAATCATTACTTGTAGAAATATATAAATTCAAATATGAAGAAAGGAGCAATGGAATGAAGAAGTATGTAATGTGTGATTATATACTCCTTACATTTAGGAATATAAGTAATTGAAATAATTGTAAATATATGTATTATATTCACTCTTGATGAATATTATTTGTAAAAGTGATGTGTAACTCTTTTGTGTAATTTCCCATTGAGCAAAAAAGGCAGATAAACAGTGGAACCATTTCTGAAACTAATAAAATGACAAGCTTTAGATTTTAAAGGGTAAAAAATAAAGCTTGCTGTCTGGAACTAATGACACCTTGTTACTCCATAGGGACTGAATATTCTGGAATGTGTAGTTTTTACATTACAATAAATACCACTAGGGAAGTTATTGTTCTTATAAAACGGGCTCATTTAAATCCAGAAAGGTACCTTGGAAAGCAGAGAAAGGGTATTTGGGAAATATGCTGGAAGTTTGTAGGAGTTTCCTAAGAGGCATTTATGCTTATGTATGTCTCAGTCACAGCATTGCCGAGCATGAAACCTGCCCGCTGTAGTGTGAGCAGAGAGAAAATAAAAAACATGAAACGTTAAATTGCTTCTCAGTGGAAAAGGAAGAGTAGTAAGCTGGAAACTGAAGTTGGATGCTTAAAACCAATCCAAAAACAGATAAAGTGGGTTGTATTAAAGCAGCCAGGAGTCTGTCATGTGAATGGTGTCTAGCCACCTAGAGTGGATAACTGGTGTCTAGCCATCTAGAGTGGATAACTATTTTCGTCATTACCGATGGCTTCTGTTACTCTTACAATCAAAATCTCAGATTTCTTTGTTATTGTCTAGAATTGTTGGGTTTCTATTTTTTAGGGAAGGTGGTGTGGGGGAGATTAGAGGCATATATACCCGCACATTCATACTGAGAATTATAGTATAATAGTCATAAGCACACACATATTTATGAAGAACTCTAAAAAGTTTATACTGAACTCTGTTTGATTCTCCTGAACCACCTTGATATTCTGGCTAAGGAAATTGTTCCTTTCTAGAAGCACCACCATGTATCAGTTAATTTGTCCAAGATGTTTTGTGAAGAGAATCCTATTTTTTATACCGGCACTACTCTGAATCTTATTTTTCACTTATGCAGTTATTAAAGATGCAATTTTTAAGTACTGATCTGTTATGAATTGAATTCTGACAACATTGCTTCTTTTCAATATGGTCTATAAAATATCTACTTTATTGGTTGGCTTCAGGAACACTTCAGCTCTTTCTCAAACTGGGTGTTCTTCCTTTCTAGAAAGTATGTTATTCCTTGTACTTTTGACACCATGGCCAATACATTATTACTCTGTATCATATTGTTTCACTTTTATTATCATTTCTATATCCAAAGTAGTTCAGATACATGCATTTTCAGTGCTTAGTAATTTCCTGTCTGTGTAGTCCTTGAAAAAAAAATAGGCTGAATAATTAAAAGAATGAATGAATGACTAAATGAATGAATGTTGAAAGGGAGCCACTTTCATTATTTTTATTTTTTAAATTCTCACCTAAGGATATGTTTTTATTCATTTTTAGAGAGAGGGAGGGAGAAAAAGAGAGAGAGAAATCTATCGGTTGCCTCCTGTACACACACCAACCAGGGATCAAAAGTACAACCTAGTTATGTGCCCTGATCAGGAATCAAACCTACAACCTTTTGGTGTATGGGACGATGCTCCAACCAACTGAACCACCTGATCAGTGCAGGAGACACTTATTTTTTCCTTTCTACTGAATTCTCCTTTGACATCTGGTCTGTGTCAGGGAATCCTATCTAATAATAGACAAACATGGTAATTGACCGTACCTTCGCTACACCTCCCATTGGCTAATCAGCGCGATATGCAAATTAACAGCCAATGAAGATGGCAGCTAATTTGCATACTGCAGGCAGGGCGGGGCAGCGCCATCCCACCTGCCATGCGGCCATCCGGGCCTGCTATCTGCGACCCAGGGCGGCGGGCGTCCCATGTGCGACCCGACCCAGGGTGGCCAGGCAGGGCAGCGAAGGCTTGAAGGCGGCTCCTGCCAGAGCGAAGGCCTGGGTCCTGGGTGCCGGAGGAAAACTAGTGCCGGCAGCCAGGGGAAGGGAAGGCCTATTGCATGAATCTTTTCGTGCAACAGTCCTCTAGTCTCTTCATAAGACTTTCAGCAAATGAGAAGCCTTTATTCCACCTCTCTGAGCCAATTCCTGGTTAAGGACCCACTGACAAAAGAAAGGTGAAGGGTACTCTTCTTATCAGAAAAGGCCATTCCAGCCCTGACCAGTTTGGCTCAGTGTATAGAGCGTCGGCCTGTGGACTGAAGAGTCCCAGGTTCGATTCTGGTCAAGGGCATGTACCTTGGTTGTGGGCACATCCCCAGTAGGGGGTGTGCAGGAGGCAGCTGATCGATGTTTCTCTCTCATGGATGTTTCTAGCTCTCTATCCCTCTCCCTTCCTCTCTGTAAAATTTCAATAAAAACATATTTTAAAAAAAGAAAAAAAAAAGGCCATTCCATTGGCTTACCCATGTACTTAGGGTTTTATGATTCCACCATAATCAGAGGCCTACACAGTAATATAACTTAAAAAATTTATCTTTATTGTTGAAAGTATTACAGATGTCCTTTTTTGCCCCATTGACCCCCTTCACCTCACACCCTCCCTCAGGCCTTCAACACACTATTGTCTATGTCCATGGGTTATGGGTATATCATATAAGTTATTTGTTAATCTCTTCCTGCCCGCCCCCCTTCCCTCTGAGATCCCTCAGTCTTGTTCCATGCTTCCATGTCTCTGGATCTATTTTTATTTTGTCAGTTTATTTTGTTCATTAGATTCCATATGTAAGTGAGATCATGTGATACATGTCTTTCTCTGACTGGCTTACTTCACTTAGCATAATCATCTCCAGGGCCCTTCATGCTGTCTCAAAGGGTAAGAGATCCTTCTTTTTTTAACAGCTGCATAGCATTCCATTGTGCAAACGTACCACTTTTTAGCCATTGATCTACTGATGAACACTTGGACTTTTCCAGATCTTATCTATTGTATATAGCACTGCATCAAAATAAAAAGCTTCTGCACACCAAAAGAAACCACCAATGAAATGAAAAGGAATAACACATTTGCCAGTGATACATCTGATGAGGGGTTAATTTCCAAAATCTGTACAGAATTCATACATCTTAACAAAAGGAAGACAATCAAATTAAAAAATAAGCAAAGGACCTAAACACTTCTCCAAAGAGGAATACAGAAGGCCAAGAGACATATGAAAAAATGGTCAAAGTTATTAATCATCAGAGAGAT